TTACCTTTATTTTAGCAGGTAGTCTCAATGATATTTTGTAATCTCTTTTTCAAGCGAGACCTGGGATGCATTAGGATGTGTTAAGGTTCAACGTGTCATGACCACGAGGCGTTCTAACATGAAGAATAACGCAGAAGGATTAGAAGGTGTTAAAGTCTAGAAATGAAACATCTAGAAATTCACTCTCTCTGTGCACACCGAGGGTTTTCACAAACAAAGAAAAAAAATTGTATTCTTCATAATTTCAGTAAAGGGACAAAAACAAGTACGGAAGTAGTCTTGTAATATTTGCAAATGTGATACTATACAATACGATGCGTTAAAATGTGTTATGATACATTTCTAAGCGATGCTTTACGATGCGATGCTAGCAGAGGAAGAATAGTTAATTTACTAAAATCTTTCTTTTAGTCGATCCAAACCATGAGATTTATCCTTCGCTGGTTTACACAAAAACATTACGATTTATATTTTTCCTCAATCGATTTAAATTGTCCATCTTGTTTTGATTTCTGGGGGATTTTTATTCAGAGATATAACGGTGCATAAAGAGGGAGAGGAATGACATGCCGGAAAGAGCCACAGGTCGGATCCGAACCCAGGCCGACTGCTTGGAGGACTACAGCCTCCGTACAACTGGCGGGCACACTAACCACTAGGCTACTGGCGGCCCTTGTATTTATTTTATATTGTAAGGTAACATTACATTCCTAATCAGGGCCTGATCCATGTGCTCTTCTGTCATTGGTCTAAAGCTCCACTCCAGTGTTTCTCCGTTTTTAAATCACAGCACGAGCTTGGCAGAGGAAACACTGACATCAGCCTTTGAGACTTCCTGCATGTGGACTACAGGCCGGGTGGTTAAACAGGGACAGACTGAACAGCCTCCTGGAGAGACGTCAACATACAGAGATGCTGCTCGCTCTGACAGAATCCATCAAAGCGATGTGACGACCCCTCCCTTTTTTGCTCCCACTCTGCCTGTCTGTTTTTGTGTTTCTTGTCTCTCAACCTTGTGTTCTATCCAGGTGAGTGGAGTTGGGATGTGAGTGGAACTGGGAGGGTCGTCAGCTGGTGCCTGCTCAGCTGAGTAGGGCCTTCAGAAAGTGATTTAGGCCTGCCCAAGAGATGTGCTCACTCTCTCTCAGCTGGGCATCCTGCAAACATCAGTACATTTATGTCTATTGTCTACTGGATGACCTTCATATATGTATGTATAGTGATACTTTAGTTAATTAAACGATTATTTGAATGACTAACTCTGTGTGGCCTCCCTCCTTTGTTACCTGCCATGAGCTAGTTGGTAACACAGAAGAAAAGAAGAAACATGGAGAAGTAAGCTCCCCGGGTTTCCAAACAAACTGGCTCAGCTGCCAGTGAATCATGGCTGGCTGTGTTTTATGGAAACAACTACAACTTATCTCTGTCTGCTCCGATGAAAATGTCCGATGTGAATGAGCTCACAGTTTACTGTAAGTGCTGACTCGGTGGCTGTGTTTGTGTGAGGCCCGATGTCAGCGTGTTCAGAAACTCAGAGGAACACTAATGAAATTCTTTCTAGATTGTAACGACTGTAGCCTCCGTCCAGCCGCCTTTGAAGGGCTTAAGGAGTCAACGCTGTTTTTAAATGTCAGAGCCTTTGTAAGGCTTAAAGACGGACAGAGGCGGGGGGGGGGGGGGGGGTGAAGGTGTAATCATCAGCCCTGGGTGGCAGCGAAGACAAAAAGGAAAAGAGATAGAGACAAAGTGAGGCATTCCAACCATACCGGCCGAGCGTTTAGAGGGAGAGACGAGGAGATAAGGTCACACACACACACACACACACACACACACACACACACACACACACACACACACACACACACACACACACACACACACACACACACACACACACACACACACACACACACACACACACACACACACACACACACACACACACACACACACACACACACACACACACACACACACACACACACACACACAAATATAAAACGCTGCGTTCACACTTCAGGTGGGAGTGACGATTTGAACAGAACAAGCCACTGGAATCTGGATTTCTATAAATCAGATCTGAGTCAGCGTTGTTGACTGAAGTCCGACTCATGCACCGATGACTGACTTGGACTGGGACTTTGCAGATGGAGACAAAGAGTACGACTTATTTACAGATGAAGACGATGTTTAGCTTTTTTATTTTTTAAATAAGACCCTGATGATTTATTAAGAGAGGAGAAAAAAGGCGTTGAAAAAGACATTCACCTTCTCTTGCCCGCTTCCATCGCTGCAACACCTGTTGGTTTGACCTGATAACTGCTCTCATATCTGGCAAACTGAGGGGCGTCCAAAACGGCCGTGTGGGGGGGGGGCCTTAAAACCGCCTACCTTCTCTGGTCCAAACAAATCCAGAGCATTCAGGACCAGAATCTAAAGTTAGAAGGAAGACATACTGGCTGCTGCATTGTTGTCAGAGAGGCCAGCACTTCAACATAGCATGTTTCCTTAATGTCTGATCATATAGTAAGGTCACTTCATCATTTCAGTCAGTCACTCAACACCTGATTTGATGTCTTCAGCTGAGCAGGAGTGTGAGATGTTGGTCTCTCCCCCCCCATTCACCTCCTCTGATTCCAAGTGCAGCTCATGTCTGTGCTTTTTTTCCAGCCTTGCACGCCTCTTCTTCCTCCAACATTTTAACAAACCTCTTCCAGGTGTAGCTCCAGTCCAACAGGTCCCATCCAAAACCACACGACCCCCCCCCCCCCCCTCCCCTCCCCCCTGACATATTCTACCCCCGCTGCTTGGCCCCAGAGCTTGCCAAAATCCTCCTTATTTTCAGTTTATTTTTAGCATCACAATAAAAGCTTCACAAAGAAGAAACACTTCCCAGCACTTCCAGACGTTTCACATTAAATCTGCTTCTGGGGAAAAGAGACTGTTCCGCTCAGAGACGCCCGCCAAAGCAAATGTAATCCAAGAGAAACAATAGCGTGAAAACACACATCCACAAACTGCTTTTTGAACGAATGCTTTTTTTTTTTTTTTAAAGTGACGTGTGTGACATTTGAAAGAAAGAGCGAGTTTGTGGGTTTGAAGGGGAAAGTAAAATCTTCCAGAAATATTGCCGGATTTGGAAACAGATGCCTGGACCGAGCCGGGGGGGGGGCCTCTGGAAAGAGCCCAGATGTCTTTACGTCAGGCGGCGCTCTTCAGCAGCTGTTGTTCAGCACTCTTACAGAACACAGGATGTTTCAGGATGTTACAGTTCAGACTGTGACTAAATCATGCAGCTACAGAAAGTCATGGGTTTACACTGGAGGAGGAAACACCCACCTCCTTATGAAGAATGGGCCACAACTGTGGCTCAATTAGCAGCTTATGAGAGAGTAACATATTCTCTGTTGGACAAACTAGATCAATATATGCTTACGTGGGGCCCTTTTACTGCTTGGCTTTCAGTGTCTGTAACTTAAGAGGTCAATTTAGTAATTTGATTCATTTTAATATTGGACAGATGTATTTAACCCGGGGAAACAGTGTGTGCACTATAATTTTTGTTTTTGTTTTTTGCTTTGTCCATTTCTCTCACGTTGTACAAGATTCTATGTACGATACGGGAAATTTGATTTTTTTTTTTGTGATTCCATGTTTGAAAACCAATAAAAATGTTGAATACAAAAAAAGAAAGTCATGGGTTTGGTTTAAATCATACTCGATGGTTACGGGCCAAGTGGGTCGTCGTGGTGGTTTCCCTGATAGAGGAGAAAGGTTCAGATTCATGTGTGGAGACGTTGTTCAGGCCGCTGATGGTTCTAAGGCTCACGTGTTGCTGCAGCACAAACGAGTTGACGTATTTACAGGCTGAGAATCTAAAAGCAACAAAGATTCATGAAATTTCAAAATGTAACGACAATGTAAGACTCTAAAACGTCTTTCACAACTTCAGAAGGTCAACACTTTTTTATTTTTTATATTCAGGTCGAATTACATTTTTTTCCTCAACTGTTTATAGGTTCTTGTTTAAAGGCTTTATATGAGACTTTTCACACCTAAATGTAATAGAAATCAAGTACATCCTCTGAAAATAACTCTGTGAGTCATGACTGTCTACAATGGGTGTAACACCCGAGTCCCGCTGTCTGTGATGCTTTCCGAGTCCTATTTTCAGTTTGTTTATATCCCCTTGCACATAAAAGTTGTTTCATTGAGGGACTAGAGAAAAGAAGAATTCGACATCTGCTGGATCAAAGAATTGCATATAAAGCCTTTAAATTGCACATACTGTATATTTTTATCCCTGCACGGGTTATGTACATTTCTTGTAAAAGTATTTTTTTAATTGCACAGGTTTAAGTTTGATTCATCTAGGAGTATTCTTTAAATCTTTTTTTCGGGTTAATATATATGTATGGGAGGGGGGCGTCGGTTTTGTGGATAATTTGTAACAAATGTTTAATGTCATGTACGTCTTTGTAACCTGCAACTGGATGCTTTGAATTTCCCTCAGGATCAATAAAGTATCTATCTATCTATCTATCTATCTATCTATCTATCTATCTATCTATCTGAAGGTTTCATGGCGAGCTTCATGTGTGAACACAAACAACTGAATGTCACACTGTAAATTCATCTGAGCAGGTCATCGGTTCAGAGCCGCCTCGAGTCGGGAACACGCCTGAGACTGTCGGGAGGGGGAGGAGCCAGGCTTCAGGAAACCTCAGGTGGTCACTGTGAGACAAATCGCCTTCTGCTGACAAACTTTTGAAATAATCAGAGAAGGCGTCAAGGTGCTCCAGAACTTTCTGAAGTAAGCTGACCACAACCTACCGCTAGCTAACTTCCTGCCACCAGTTTGACTCCGCCCCTAAAACCCGTCATCACAGTGCACAAACACCAGAATGGTCTTTTAGAGGCATCACAGCTGAATGTGAACATAATGGAGGAGAAGACATTTGAAAGAGAAAAGTACAAACAGGAAGCAGTCTTTGTGTTACCTGTGGGCGACCTGTAGGACACGGTGATGTCTCCCGTCAGGTCGGCGGGGGAGTACCTGCCGTTTAGGAAAGCTGAGAACTCCACGACTGTGGACGCTCCAAAAC